GTTCGTAGAAAGAAAGATATGAAGCGATTTTAATCTCTTAGTTTAAGAGAAGACAGAGTGTATACACCGACGCCATTGTGATCGATTCTGAGCCATGCCACACAGAGTCTCCAACTATTAGTTACGATAGTCACGTGGACCCCAACCAAGTAGTCTGCATCTACCAACATGGCTCAGACCAGAAGTTAATGACTTCAAGGACTGATGCCATGTTTTGGTTTGGCCTCCCCTAACTTTCTTCCAACCACGTCCTACAGTAGTCAACATTACTTCCAACAGCACTGAATAATAAGAAACATGCCACAAGTTATAACAGTTACACACTAGGTTACTTGCTGTGGAACCTGGTGCTTATGATTATTTCTTCTGTTTTCAAATATTCCATCGAATTATGCTTCATGGAACCCTCATAATGTACAGAAGGATTTTCTAAAGCTTAATAGCTTTCCAATCTATATGATCTTGAGTTGTGAACCCTTGTGTAGTTATCTTTATTGATTGGTTTCGAATGATACTGATGACTAGAATAAAGCTGAATAATAGTTGAATAGGTGTGTGAAAGTTCACTAAGTTTCTGTCTTCATAATTACACCCATAGAAAGGACTTTATTGATTTGCATAGAAGAGAAAACCATTTACAATCTATTAATGATTTGATATAAATTCTCTAATATACCTGAGATATCAGAAGATGAAAAAAATTAAAATGGAAAATTAAATTACTAAACAATACAATTTTTTGAATACCCTATACACTTAATATCAGGATTCATTCGACAGACAGCAATAAATTCTCACATTATACTTAAACTTCACTGTAGACAGTTTAAGGAGATATCTAAATCTTATTATCCACATTGTGTTACAAAGATTCTGAAATAAACTTGTAATCACTTTACTTAAAACATGTGGCTATGTGACTGTAAAGTATAGTTCTTACGAAATAGAATACCATGATCAGTATAGGGTTGTGGAGATCATCAAGTTTCTGATGGAGATCATGAACTGATTGATGTAATACCACCACTCAAAGGCTGGAAGCACTGGATGGCCGTTTCGTCCTGCTGTGGAACTTCTCAGCAGTGCGCATCCACGATACCACTTGCTTCCAGGTTTTCAATGGTGGTCTAACATCAATCAGTTACATGATCTCAAATAAAAACGTAGTAATCTCCACAACCCTATACTGATAATTACCATGTACTCACTAGTGACTAGCTTCGTGACGGAATTCTCAGAATTCTAGTGAGAAGCCGTGACCAGTGGAGCTAATGCGTGTCGGGTAGAGACAAGCATCCACCTCAATAAAATGGAAAATGGTCGCGCAATTTAATGGATTGGTTGAGGTTAAACATTAACACCATCGGATCCCGACTCAGTGATATAGAGGTTCAGTGTTAGTGCGCGAGACTGGAGGCCCGGGTTTGAACCCCGAGGGCAGGATCACTGATGTGCACTGCTGAGGAGTCCCAAGATAGGACGAAACGGTCTTCGAATGCTTCCAGGCTTTCAATGGTGGTCTAACATCAATCATTTTATGATGTTGATCAGAATACTATGAACCGTTATTTCAAACTTATTTGTGTGGATAGTTTATGATTACAAATAACTCAAAGTGTATATTTTCTTGGTATAACAAAACTATTTCTATACCATTTGGATATCTTTCTATACTTTAAGATTGTTGATTTCTAAAGAACATCGTAATAGAATCTCAGTAAATCAGTGAAAATTGTCTCTTCATTAGTTTATTGTAAAAAAAGACTTATAATCTATAATACCATATTCGATCAATTAGTGTTATCGATCACATGAAATAAATATACAAATGTGCAAACTGAAAATGAACTTATATTAAATCATTACTTTCATGAGATTAATAGAAACTGATCTATTTTCGGCATTGTAAAACATGTTTTGTAGTTGCATTAAAGTATTAAGGTTCACTCGATTTAGTTCGGGAACATAGTGTATATGTACACGGGGTTTATATGTAATCAGTAATATAATGAATGATATAGAATGAACTAGATTATATATTATTTATTTAAATCTTTTTTTACCTTTCCGCGTTTTTTACTCATTTCAATTTTGTTCGCTCATATCAGTTATTCATTTTGTTGATGATTTTTAAAAGTATGAATAATTGCACTGGTGCTGACATTCTTTAGGGAATAACAATCGAAATTCATAAATTTTTGACTGGTTAATATGAGAAGGCCTCATTACATACTTATCTGAATGCTTCAGAAACCACTACAGAGAGAAAATCCTTTCTCAAAGATTTGAACTGTGTATTTCATACAATAGGCTGAAATAAATAGGTTCAAAGTATTACTTTAAAAGTCTTCAAGATCAGTGGATGTCAGCTTATTACAAAAGGTTATTGTGAACGAACAAAACATTGGAGACATATTTATTGAGATATGTTTTAAAAGTAACTTGTTGACACACTATACGCTTACTTCAAAAGACACCATGATCTTGGGTGACTTTTGCTCTGATATATTCAGGGTAAGACTATGTGATGCGGAAAAGGTGGGTTATGACTCTCTTAATGTGGTCAGATGATTCATCATTATCTAATAGAGAAAAAACAGCAAGATATTTGAGATGGTACCATGGATCCGCTCTTAAAGGCTGACAATGATTAATGCCGACCTTCAGTCGCGTCAGACATATCGCAGATCAGCAGACATTGTAGGATTATGTAATCCCCACATACTCCTTGGAACTGTATAGTTTTTGTTTCAGTGGAGATCCATAGCGTGGTAAAAGCTAGTCATGATATGGGGCTTCGGTCGGATTCTGAAGCATGACTAAGGACTGGTCTGGAACGGCCGAAGCTCATGAGAACGTGTAGTCCCTAGTCCTTTTGCCAAAGAGTTGTTCAGTCTTGTCTCATGGGGGTACAAAAGAAGTTAGGGAGGTTATTCAACCATAATCTAAATGTCTTCATTGAGTCGCTGGGAAAAGACCATTTATTGGTAGCTCTTTTGACTGACAGTTAATGCATAGCATCAGTACTGTTAGTTAAGTCCGTTATTACAATACTTCTAATAGCAAGGGAAACGATTCCTCTGAGCTGTGGAAAACAAAATGAAAAAGTGGAGAGTAAATTGGTTGAAGGGACTAGGTTGTTCATAAGCAGGTCTAGTTGTCATGTTCATGATTCTATTAACAACCCGTCCGATGAATTATGTGGTAAAAAATCGCTCAGTATGCATGTTTCGTTTGGTAAAGACTGGCGCAAGTTTTAGGGCTATTGGTACTTCTTGCGTTATTTGGAAGCCGCTAATATGCAGAGTCTATAGAAGTGTACGGGTATTTTTCCTCCAACTGGCTAAACTACATCCATGTAGATATTACCTACGAACTCAACTTTTCTAGTTCGACGAGAGCTTTGTCTGCATTTTAGTTTTCTATAACTGTTTCATTTATTTAATATCCAAGTGCATGATTTCAGCATGTGTTATTTGTCATAAACATTAATAGTGGTCACTATCGACACTAATATTCGTTTCATTGTTACAACACTTAATGGTGTACGTATTAATTTAATATTTATTGGATGCAGAGATTCAACTAACTATGAATGTACTATATAGTGTTTGTACATTCCGACCTGTCAAAGACTGATGACAATAAGCTATGAATTAGGCGTCTTAAGAACAGTACAAACGTTTGGATGCACAAGAAGGAAACTAAGATCTGGAATACCTATGGTGATTATTATTAAACTCTCATACATATAGAATGAATATTTCGTTAGAAAAGAAAATAGATATTTGATGCTGAATATTACAATACTTCTTTCATCGTCTTGGGCGATACAAGATATAGAAATTTATCATTCCATTCAGGACGTTTTACTTCCGAAACATGGTAACATTTAACAAGAAGACATGTTGATTGAGAATTCTTAGTGGAATCGTGATTAGAGTTATACACTAAAGCGTAACACGTGTTCAGCGCTCTCTTATTTTCAACCATTGTCAAGCTAACTTCAATTTATAATGTAAAATCTTCTTACACTGAATGATTTGTAGGCAGACAATTATTGTCGTTCAAGCTCTTATTGTTATGTAGTAGGCCCCGTCTAATATCACGTGACAAAATCGTCAATCAGAGCACCGACTTATACTGCGGTGTGTACCATGATGTCTACAGATGTAAGTAGTATGCATCACCATTCGAAAATGAAATGCCCGGAGGCAGAAGTTTAAGGAGATCGAAGAAAAGAGGACGAGAATAAAGAATGATTGGTGTAGAAACAAAGTAACAATGAAGTCTGAGACAACTGATTGACATTCTGCAAATGAATTATTTACTGTATGGTTCTCAGATTCTACTAAGACGTTTTGTAATTTTGTATTCAAATACGTTTGATTGTCCCTACTGGTGTTCTCGTTCACTATAATACGATCTTGGCCCTGTGCCAAACCGATGACGCGTTAACCAGCATAAGCAGCCTAGATTCAACTCTGAGTCCTTATTGGTCCTCTTTATAGTAGCTTCTCACCTAAGCTTGCCCGCTGAGTCCAGAAAGCAATCTCAGCTCCTACTGTATGAGTCATGTACAAGTTTTTGCACATGCAAACCAGATCGCATCATACCATCAAACAGAAAATCACAATCATACATGATCGAGCGAAAACGGACTATGAATGTGAGATACTGTAACCAATATATATATATATATATATATATTATAATAATATATATTATATATATATTTAATTAATTTATATATATTATATATAATATATATATATATATATATATATAGTTCCCAGAAGTTACCTATAATTTAATCTTCTTCGGACACAATATTTTTCACTTGTGAAATAAGTCCCATCCGAAATTCCCGATTTTTAAAAGAGCTTATAGCTTTTGATAGATTACAAACATTTATACGCTTCTGACGATCGAACCGTGGGCAATACGACTATAACTAAAGTTTTAATTTATGATTTTTATTCAATGTAACTTTCACTCAGGAATGATTGCTGCTACTAAGAAAGGATTATATTACCTTTTGGATAAGAATAGTTGCAAGCAGACAGGGAATTTCGTCGTTGTCGTTCTTGGTGGGGCTTCCGAAGCCTTAGATTCAAGACCTGGAACATATGTGATGCACATTAATCAACGTTTTGGTTTTTCAAGTTGGCCTTACAAACTGGGTAGGTTTTGCGTGAAATGTAATCACTTTCTTTAACACTGCATAAATTTTTAACGAACAAATTTTTATTGACATGATAATGCAGAAAGTGAAATAACTATTGAATGATATTTATTATTAAATTCACTTGGTGCTACTTACTTGTAACTTTCCATTGTTGTTTAGGACTGAAATTGACCAGTCTCTTATAGGCATATGTGCATACTGTGCGAACTGCTTCAATATTGCTTGAAGTCACAAGCTTTATATACAAAGATGTATAGTGACTAGCAGTGGAATTCAGGACGCGCGTTTCGTCCTATTTGAGACTCATCAGCTCGATGAACCTGCACCTCAGAGTTAATGAGAAGATACAATTTAACAATATCAAGTGAACTTAAAACTTCCCCCCATTGCACAAGAAGGTGATTATTAGGAGTCAGCAGCTAAGTAGATAACGCAATGGCGTTTGAAGAGAACAATACTGGGTTTGAGTCCCAGAGTGAACATCATTTCTGAGATGGAGGTACATCCAGCTGACATGCCCCAAATAGGACGAAACGAGCGTTTCGGATTTCTCAATAAATATCTAAAATAAAGATATGATACTGTAAAATCATCTTGGCCTTATAAAGTGACTATGCCCTGAACTTTCTGGAATATTTAACTTAATAAATCACTTAGTAAATCACTTCAAAACCCACAACCGTCAGACACACTATTTGGAAATTATGATTTACCTATTTAGATTATGTTTTACTACATCAGATCAGTGAATTGGAAAGAGCAAAATTTTTCGAGATGAATCTTTTCATTTCCATTATCATCAAATGTATTGTACTTGCTAAAACATGGAGATATATGAAAACTATTAGTTTATATCTTCAAAGATGATTATTTATCAAACTATGGCTCTTCATTTTTTTTACAAACGTGTGAATTACTAATATTATTATATTCAATAGGCTAATTACAAATAAGTAAATTCTACACTTATTACTAATTAATTAAAGTTGTGATAAACTGTTGATGAACATAGGTTGATGGAACCATTAGTTTAAATGAAGTTTATAAAATCTATTCTTTGTATATAGTTGTAATTTTATTAGTTAATCAGCTATTTTTCATTATTTCAAATAATTCATATAACTAACTATCAAATAAATGAATTACTTGTATGACAATATGTGGGATGATTTGACTATGAAAATGAAAAGTAATTGAAATGTATTTTGCAGTTGAGAATACAAACAGGCAAATATAAGCTCCCAAATTCATTCAGTGCAACTATGCCATGTACTAACATATATTACTCGTACTGATAAAACCTTCATTAGTTGTCATTAATTCGTTCCTTAGATTGCCTCATGATAAGACAAAAAAATCTGCATTGTTTTGATTAATTTTTCAATTGACAAATAATAAACATACAAATAAATTACAGTATCGTCATTCACATTTGTACTTTAAATATGTTATTGTAATTTAGAGTACATATACAATGAAATTAATCTAATTAAGTTGAATTATTTTTATGATCATATGGTAGTCAATGACTTGCTCTAGTTTTAAATGTCCAATTTATCAATAATTAGTAATTGTTGTGTCTACAAAACCAGGTACAGCTAATAATAAATGTGAGTATCTCGTTTACTGAATACTGATGAACGTCAAGAAGAAACTACCAACTAATTTGTAAACATTTATGATCAAATCATTTGTAGACTGACTAGAATTACATTGTCAGTGATATTTAGTGACTTAAATTGATTATAACATTTTAGGCTGTTAGGTGATATGGTAAAAGTTCAATCAATCAAAATTTCAGATAAGATTGCTGTACATTCTGAATCATTTTATAGGATACTTTATTCTTTTATTGAATAAAATGGTATTAATTACTTAACCACCTTCCAATTATGATTTTAAACTAATCAAAATGTATATAAATAGTTTGATATTTGTTAGATAATTGTTTTTCACAGTCACAGATAATTTATTATCTTCTTATATTCCTATGAATTCATCCGATAAATACCACTAGAGAAACAATCTCATTATTTTTCCATTCATACTAATCATTATAACCATAATAATCTATTCAATTATATCAAACAAACATTGGCTATGTATATGATTTCAACCTAAAATTAAGAAGAGTAATTTACAAAATATCGGTTACGTATAAACTTTTTAAGAATGTAAAACAAATATTCTATATACTATAATAACAGCAAACATTAAAATGGTGGTTAACTACCTCCAACCACCATCTTATCTCAACATAGTGCATGCAATGTCGAGTCACCTAGACTTGTGGTCACATTGCAACTTGATCGATAGCATTCGATCTGCACTAAGGACTTGACACATATGACACTGATCACCACCCAGTGATCAATCAATTGTAAATAACAGCAAATATTGTAAAGTTTGAAAACTGAAAGCAGTAAAGTTGGAATTAAATAATCTAAGTAATATTAATAGGTAGTTGGGTAAGAACTCTTGGCTTCTAATATGGATGAAGGAATTCTGCTTTAGACAGGAAATAAATTTATTGTTTACATAGCTGTTATTTTGGAAGTTTGTTGAAAGAAAGCATATTATTTGGTAATATATTTCATACAAATTTCCGACTTAATACATTTTAACTTGTAAATCTACACAATCCTATTTCTGAGTTTTTGTAATCCCTTATCTTTATAACTTACTGTGGGTCAGAAATAACCTTCAAAGTCCTGAAAAGCTAACTATTTGATTGTTCTTCAGCCCTTGAAATTACTTGATGTATTCGACATAATCTAATTTATGCTGAACTATTCTTATTTTAATTGAAGATCATATTTGGTACCGTGTATATCATTTGGTGAACAAAGCTTATATCATCAAGTTCCAAATGAAAAAGGATCATGGATACGATGGCTACAGGATAAATTTACGTCGATTTCTACCATTGCACTGCCTATTTTCTATGCTCGTGGTCCCTTTCCGTATCGTAAACCAGTTTATACTGTAGGTATGTTAATAATTGCAGTTGCAGTTTCCGGCTCTTGTAGTTGATCATTCACAAATTGTTAAAATCTCAATACTGACTACTTAGTGAATGATTCTTTAAGAAATGTTTCTTTTTTACACTCGATACGTGGAGAAAATTCATGAAGTTTAATCGTTACGTTTTATGAGAATCCAATTTTTTAACAACCATTTTCAAAAGTATATGGAATCGTAGTTCTTGATTGCTAACCAGTCTTTGATAGCACATGAGCAACTCATATAGTTCCCTTAATATCAGCTGAATTCATATGTTGATTAGGTGTTCAGAAGCAGCTACCACTGAAGTCCAAGACTGGTGTTGTGTGTTTAACACTATGGGGTTTGAATCTACGGGCACTAAGTTTGTATCCTAGTAGATATATCTGTAAAACCTTTATCATGGATTATGATGCTAACTACCATTTAATGTGAGATCGTTTTCAAATAAATAAAACCGCTTTACCTTTCAAAGTGAATCTGTACTGATCACAGTCGCCATCGACTTACCTCGCAAAAAATCCACACTGTTTCTTTCAGTTATTTTGTAAACATGTCGGGCATACGTGATCGTTTACAGCTACTCTTATCAGTCAGCAAATTAAGTACAAAACTAATTTGGATAGATAATATTTCGAGACACTTTAGCCTAATTAAACTATAGTGTCTGGAACTAAAGGCTTCATTTAAAAAACACCAGTGAAGGTACATATTGTCGTATATTCAACCAGGTCAGTTTTTATAACTAAACAAGAATTTGTAGCTGAAAGTTCTACCGATTTCAGAAAATAACCTATCACTATTATGTTATATCTTGAAAAGAAAACACACTTTTTTCTTACAGTTGGTGCTCCAATTCAATGCGAAAAAATAAATGAACCCACAGACGAACAGGTCGCACATATTAAACAAATTTATATAGAAAAGCTCCAAACACTATTTGAAGATTACAAGGTAATTTATGATCCAGAAGCTAATGATATTGAATTTGTATAAATGAAAAACTTATGTATTTTTGATTCATTTATCAAACTATCGTAATCACGTATTGAAACATTGAATGGAAAAAGTTAAGAATCACTATTCGTTGAATAGTACATCTTTAAAGATCACGATTGAATTGTATCTTTATAAAATATTAGGAAGCTCATCTATATTATATGTGTTTCAAGTAATATTGTTTCTCTACACCAACCAATAATAACAATGATTATCTTTCACATCTTTTTTCTTATCATTCAAATTCATTACAATACTTCCTTCATGATCGTAATAGTCATGGTATAAGTGATTTGTTTCACACACTCAACTGGTGTTATGCAAACAGCATAAACGTTACATTTTAATCTTATGACTAGGACAGAGATTAAATGACGAGAAGACAATAAGATAAACCTAAATTGCATAACTTCAATTTCTAGTCACAGTACTCACAAATGAAAACTAACTAAATGAAAGAAAATTTAACTTTTAAACTGCATTCGTCAGAATAATTACGACAAATTAAAAATCATTCCTCCAGCTAATCAAATAATATTCAAATCAGGATGAATAGATTTTTTAACATCATGGAACAACCGAAATAATGTCAATTAACCAATCTTTAATAAGTTCTATTACATAAAGTGGTCAGTAATCATATTTCAAAACAATACTGTAGATAAATTCACTTAGTATTGTTTAAATGAATCTTCCATTGATGTTTAGGATTGTGATTGATCAGTCTCTTATTGGTATATGTGCATACTCCGCGTATTGCCTCGATATTGCCTTAATTCACAAGCATTATAAGCAAAGATGTATAGTGACTAGCAATGAAATCCAGGACGCGTGTTTCGTTCTATTCGGGACTGTAGATAGAAAATTTTCCATGACTCCAATTACAGGACTGAGAAACTATTTAAAACTTTAGATACAGATTTAACAATCTTATAAAATATTTGCTAATAATGAAAACAAAAATGCATCAACAACCTCCAAATTAACGAAAGTCGAAAGCAAAAGTCATGAGGAAGAAATAAAAAAGCAAAATGTAAGTAAGAGAAACAGATAAAAACATGTAAAATAAGTAAGAAACAAGAATAAAAAACGACCACACGAAACGAAGAACCAAAGACGTCAAAGAAGTAAGCAAAAAACAAAATAAAACAGCTTAAAATGCATGAACAAGCACCCACTATGCTCGACGTCAATACGGTCACCGACAAATCGCCAATGACCACGATCGTCGTCACCCTGTTCCCCTCATCTACATCATCATGACGGTGTTCAACACGACCGATTCGTTTGTAACCTCCTCACGTACCACTTGGCATCGACGAACAGACACACATTGAAATGCTCATCAACGCGCTCACCCGCGATCACACCCAAACGTGTGTTGATGAGACGATCATGTGATATTGTGTTTTTGGTGATTGACTCGCGACCTCACACACTGTTGTAGGTCTCGACCGACTTCGAGGAATCACATGCCTCTAACACCGACTACCAGATGTTTGTGTTCAGTCGGCTTTGTTGAGAGCACTCCGTTTGTCCAGAGAGCGTATGAATGGGCATCAGGGATTTGCATCGCGACAACTTCATTGACTTGGTTGTTGGCAGTGTGAATGTGCGTGTTCTTGTTAATGATGTTGTTGTTGTTGTTGTTGTTGATGATGATGATGATGATGTTGGTGTTTCGTGTTTTTGTGGTAGATTGTTTGCATGTGCAGGCGAAGCATGCGTGTGAGTGTTTGTGTGTGGATGTTTGTTGGGATTGTGGTGATGGTGGTGTTGTGCGTTGATTGTAGTGTTTATAGTTGAACGTGGTGTGGTGTTGTGTTGGGGTAGTGAAGTTGTGACAGTCGCGAAATCGGGGGTATAGCTCAGTGGTAGAGCATTCGACTGCAGATCGAGAGGTCCCCGGTTCGAACCCGGGTGCCCCCTTCACTTTTCCACAATCAATCACATTATAACACACAATATACTAATAGAACCAAAACAAAACAAAACAAAACAACTCTCTCGACCCAATATCATGCACACTCACTCACCGTCACTATCAATCTCATCCGTTGGACGAGTACCGACGACAATTGCAATAGTCAATCACACAATACACTATCGATGTTTCCACATGTACAGGTTTCAATTGCATATTGATATTAAAATATATTTACATATGTACAGATGTGCAGCAACTCTCCTACAATCAATCCCGATTATGGTTAATTTTGGTTAAGCCCTTTTATTAACTTACTTAACAGACTATGTTATTCGAACAGTAACAATTCGTCTATTTCTCTGTACTATTATCATCTCTATCTTGTCTGTATAAACGTGTACTGTTGATCAGATGACAGTCTACGTACATATCTCTCTCTAGGTTAAATGTTGATAGCTTAAATATCGCCGGATGAATCGTTCTCCTCCGCATGTATATACGTAATCGAATCCTATTATTAGCCTTTACCTTGCCTAGCTGTGCCTTATTCCATTTCACTATGATGTGCTTGTAGCTTTGTTATCTGTGCTATCCGCAAATAAACTGTAGTCGCCGCTTCTCATTGCCTTCTGATTTCAAACACAGTGGGATTTATATAATAACGGTTATCAATTTGATTGATTAACGAAGCTGAGCCACTACAGATGTATACACTGTGCATTCACTCACTCACTCACTCACTCACTCACTCACTCACTCACTCACTCACTCACACACACACATGTATATTCTGATGTGTGTATCATCGACAACAGATCGGCATCTTTACTGAGATCACCTTCGTAAATTTCATTTTGATCGGACATCACTGTCGATACAATTGTGACATCCTCGTCAATATGTACTGTTGGGATTTCGACACGTGTACACCCTCACACATTTCAGATGAACTCCCACTGGAAATATACTGTGCTTATCGAGTGATCGTGTGCTCACACCGACGCGTTGGTTAACTGACGGAGATTGAGAAACCCAATGGTGGAGTAAACTCATCCCCCAAATTATCATCATCATGCTCATTGCCAATACGGTCACCGACAAATCGCCAATGACCACGATCGTCGTCACCCTGTTCCCCTCATCTACATCATCATGACGGTGTTCAACACGACCGATTCGTTTGTAACCTCCTCACGTACCACTTGGCATCGACGAACAGACTTACATTGTGTTGTGTTGTGTTCTATGTGTTATTCTGTGTTACCCACATCCGAATTGGTAAATGCATTTGATGCTACTGAGGATGGGATTATTGTCCATCTTCTTTTGTTGGAATATGCATCTTATCTTAAACTACTGTCATTCATGGTAATTTTTAAACATCCTTCATCGCATTATATATCCTGTTTTTTTTCTTGTGGATACATCTTTAATGCGTTTATTCAAGAATTAAGTTTTTTCCATTATATCGTATTTATTCCGTACTTTGGTTTTGGCATATGTCTTGATTAATCTCCCTTTTTTACGTAGGCAATTTGTAATAAAGGCTATGAGAATGGCAATAATCTTTTTGTAACTCATTGGACATAAAATATTGTAGCTTAGATAAACTCGACTCGATGTATTTTTGTGGTCAATGTGTTTTTGTAGTGTACAGTCTCAAGTTCGTTTTATTTCAATATCTGAGAAATAGAATTTACCTACTTCATGCCTTATAGTAAAGTCTATATCATTGTGTGCTTTGTTAATAAGATTGAGTAAGTGCATAGAATGCATATGATTGTTTCAGACGAGAAATGTGTCATTAATATATCCACAAGAGAGTGCAGTTGCTTCAACTGCATGCTTAATTTTTGTTTGTCCCAGGTTCCCCATAAATATATAATCTAAAAATGGTCCCAGAGGGCTACTCATTGCTAATACATCAGTTTAGCAGTGCAACACACTGTTGAAATGAAAATGTGGATTTTTGCTTCTTAAGAACGGAAGCTGTTTGAATTGATTGATATAAAAAGCAGGCAGTTCAGATGCTTATATATAATATCGGTAGTTTCTTCCAAGGGAATTTTTGTGAAGGGAGATGAGACGTCAAACTGTACCATGAATTTATTGGAGACATTCAAGTTACCAAGCTGTTGTGCAAATTCGGAACTATCTTTCAGACTGTAGGGAGCTATCTTCTTACGGACTGGTTCTAAACACCTTGTCAACCAGCGGGCGAGTTTTTGGAAACGTGATTCGGTCATAGATAATATTGGCCTCATGGGGATATTTGAAATATATTCTAGGTAAATCGTTTAAATGAGGTAATTGTTATCCTTTCGGTTTGGGTTCATTGTACGTAGGATTATCGATTCAATTCTTCAAATATTCTCTCAACTCTTTTAAAGACGCCAGTCTCATCCGTCAGGTCTTTCTGAGTATTGTCGATGATAAATCTCTTGGATTCATTTAAAATGGACATTACATTGCTATTGTATTCGTCTCTGTTTAGAACAATTACACTGGAATCCTTGCCTGATCGAATTAAAATTAGTATTTTGTACTGCATAAGTTTTCCCAATGCTTGATGATGGACTTAAGTCAACACTTAGACTGTGGAACTGGTGTTGTAATGTACTGATTTGTAATATTCACTAATTTCCATTTCAACCAACTTTGTTTTTCATCATTCATAGGTTTTAGGTCTGATATAAATAATGTTGATATAAATACTGAAATTGAGTTTCAGTTTCGATTCTGTTGCATTTCTTTCAGAATATTAAATTTAAATCCGAGGGAGAATTTCTGTTACAATTAAACCTAATTTTTTAGTCGATAAATTCTGTATACATTTTTCCGGATTAATAGGAAAGGCGTTATGATTTCGTTCTTTTACATGTGTTTTGGTTAATATCTTTAAAAACTCAAAAGCCCATTACTATAATTTAACGTACAATATTTAAATCCGTAACAATTTTATCAAAAACAAAGGGATTCTGTTTTGAGTTTAGAGATAAGTACCTTAGTATATTCGATTTGAGAATTTGTGATACGTCGTAGACTTTTCAATGAAGGAGGTATTTTACGT